ATGCTTATAAAGACAGTGGAAAAGCAAAGTCATGTTCATGTTCATGGTAACGTGTGGTGTGGGGGTCTCCGTGTCCCTGCTGAGTGTGGTAAATTGTTTTGGTACTCAGTGTTTAGGAATATTTGTTGTTGTTATAAATGAGTGTGAGTGTGTCTATTGGGGACAGGGGGGTTGGATGGTTGTGTTTAAATGTATCTTTCTCCCACCTTGCTTCCAAACTAGTTCCAATGTCTAGACAATTTATGCTGACTTAGCAATGATGCTGTGCTAAATAAGGCCTCCCCGTTAGCTACTCTCCGGCACTCAGTTCCTCCTGTGTGTCTCGGTGCAGTGAAGCACAGGGTCTCCTCTGGGACCAGGCTAAAAGTATTATAGTTTAATTTAAAACCCATGCAGATCCATTTGTAAATAAATGCTGGCAGATGACATCGTAATGGATAGTGCAGTGCGTACCTTTAAATTGATTTCCTTTTGATGTGATAAAAACATCTTATGAAAGAGACGTGGAAATGTGGATTTTTATGTAAAGTAAAATAATTTAGATTTTAAAGTAGAAAACATTTTGTTGATAGTTTATTTGATTCGATGACTGTACTAAGCATTGTTTGCTGTAGGTTATACATCAGCTTTGAATCATTACTTATGACTGATTTATGGAAAATCTTATTAATTGCAATAGGAAAAAAAAACCTTGAAGTAAGCAAGAAGTAAAAAAATAGAACAGCCTGGGGATGAAAAGAGGACAGGCATATCTACCCTGTAATGAATAATAATATCATGTTTGCATGTTTTATTGATAGCATGTTTCTGATCATACCAGTTAATCCACACCACACAAATGATAAATATTGTTGTAACTCCTGTCTTATATAAGAAGAAACTGATTCCTATCATTTTATTTTTTAATATATATTAAGTATTTATTATATATTGCTTATTATGAGCCAGTAATGTTTCACATATTATGTGACAGCCCTAACAAAAGCCTTTTGAATGCATAACACTGTTGTTCACCTTTCCCAGATAGGGAAAGTGAAGTATGGACAGGTGAGTCTTCTCAATATAAGTCCTGGAGTTTCAAGCAGGCCGAAGGAATCAGAAAGTCTCACACCAGAGCCTTCTCTCTTGGTCTCTGGACATAACTGTTTTTTCTGTTTCATATTTTAAAGAGAAAAAAAGGTAGCAAATGGCAGAGTAAGGACTTATCTTCTTCACTTCTGTGCCATTTCCAGTCAACCAGTTCTATCACCCTGTGTTACCAGAGACCCTAAGATTCTAAGGAAAGTCATGGGATGGGAGGTGGGCATAGAAATGGAGGGGCAAGGCCTGGGGTCCCTACTCCTAAAAACATCAATCAGTTAATGTATTAGGATTTTTATGTGTTTTTCTTTTCTTGCTTTTTCTCTTCTTTTCTTTTCTTTTCTTTTCTTTTCTCTTCTCTTCTCTTCTCTTCTCTTCTCTTCTTTTATTTTCTTTTAAATTCCCAATTGCCTTAAGAAGTGTGTGTTGGGGAAAGGGGAACACATCTAAAACTACAGCAAGTCATACAAATGAAAAATCTTTGATGGTCATGATTAGTGGAAATGTAAATGTAAATCTGAAAGGGTTTTTAAGGTCATTTTTAAATTTACCACATAGGATCTGACTCATGGAATAAAATCTATCAACTACATTAATACTTATAAAGCCATCGAAGGATTAATATAATGAGTGAGTCTCTGATATATAGCAATTAGTTGTTCTAAAATGTAGATTTTATTATTATTCAGGTTTGGTGAGGCCAACAAACATATCATTAATAAAAAAGTTTGTTTATTTGTTTACTGACAGTTCCCAAGCAAAGAGACCCTGCCATGCCACACAGGGAAACGCCGGGGTTGGTCAGGAGGTAGAAGGAGCAAGGGGAAAATGTGGAGCAAGAGCCTTTGTTGTGCTTTGTGAGAGAAGGTAAGGTAAATAGGCTTGGATGGGCTAGTATGGTCATCTCAGGGGATACTGGACAAAGGGATATCTAGCCCGAGAATGATTAGGACACAGGGATATTATTGGCCTGAATCTAAGAGTCATGTGAGAACCCAATAAAGGACATAGGGGGTTCAGATAGGTTGGTTTGCAGACATGAATGACACATTAGTACATATCACACACATATGCAAAGACTTGTTATTAGATATTAACTGTTTGCACAATTTCATCAGTCATTTTATTTAGTGCGGACAGCAAGCCAGGTACTGTGTTGGCAACAGGCTAAGAAGAGGCCATCAGACATGACCTCTGCCCTCACCAAGTTCACAAGCTAGAGCAGGAAACAGACCCAGGAACAAAGGATCATAGTACTGAATGGCGTGAAAAGTCAGCCGAGAGCCCCAATAGCCCAGAGAAAGGATGGAAGGACCCACGTTGTTCCGCCTGGGAAGCCCATAAAAAGAAATACTAACTCAGAACCCATCAGTCAACTTCCTTTGCTGCCATAATGAAGGGGACATCAACAAGCCTCTGAAGCCAAAAAGCAACTTATGACTTTGAACTTCACCTTCTTGAGACTCTGGTCCCTTTCAGTGGTTTTGTAAATGTGGATATATATTTAAGAATTGCTAATAACAGTTGCCTTTTCTGAGTAAGGCAGCTTCTATTATTGGGGGGGCGGGGCTCTTCTCCCTCTTGTGTGCTCTATGAAAATACAGCTATTTACAAATACTAATTCACTCTGAGAACCTCCCTACCAGCAGAAGAGCCAGCCCTTTGCACCTCCTCACCTCAAGTCCTTGAGTGGGAAGGGAAGTGATGGCCAAGAAACTGGGCCCATCTCTGGCATTGACTTCTCTCCAAGACTCACTTGGAACAATAAGATCTTTTTAACTGTTCTTAAAAACAAAGCTGATGATAGGATTCCCTTCTAAAAATCAAGCATGTCACCTGCAGGATGAAACAGGGATTCCTAAGTGTGTTATGACTCTTGACAGTCTGGACCCGATCTCACCCCAGCTTCTGTCCCATTCTGCTCTCCAGGCTTTTCCATTCTCCTGCCGCAGGGAACTTGTCACTGTTCCCTGGATGGACTAGTAGCTTCCATGTGTCCTTGTCTTGACTTAGTCTGGTCTTTTGGCCTGAAATGCTCTACTTCTTCTACAAAACAGATCAGATAACCCTTCCCTTTGAAAATTCCTAATTTGTCAGCGCAGATTGAGTTGCTCTGCCATCAGTGCCTTTGTATCAATGTGACCTGGTCCAAAAACATACAGCAAATGTTTATTATTTCACTTCCTCAGTTTGTCTGTATTTCACCTTTTGAATTATAATTTTCTCAGGGGTAGGGCTTATATTCTTCTATTTTATATGCCCAGTAGTTAGTAAAATGCCTGGCTAAGGGCAACAAAAAAACAGTAATAATAATAATAATGTCTAACATTTATTGAGTTCTTACAGTGTGGGAGGCATTGTTCTAAACCCTTTATCTACATTAACTAATTTTGTCCTCACAACAACAATAAGGGGAATTGAACATTTGCATTTTGCAAGTGAAGAGATTGAACCATGGAAAGGATAAAATTTAACTTCCCCAAGTCAACACAACATAAATACTAAATTAGTGCCTTTTTAAATAAGAATATGGTCAGTTCCTGGTACCTTCCCCATCCCCCCATTATTTTTTTCAGTCAAAGAAATTCATAGAATGGTCACTGTTTATTGAGATAAGAGATTTGGGAGAAGTCATTACACAGGTGCCCAATTCCTGGTATGCCAGTGGAGTGGGCCATATACTGGGTAACAGATTCCTTGAGAATGCCTCCTTGTGCTGGAAGAACTGCAGAAAGTGAGTTATTTTATTTCTCTTAAAATCTACTTCAAAGAGTAGGGATAAAAGACATGTAGTACTTCTGTTATACTAAAATCTTTTCTATAAATAGACATTATGCTTTATGGAAAATGATTTAATTCCTGGTATGTCTACCTATAGATAGCAGTAGGCTATGTTATGAGTTTTTGTATATGAGAATCTCTAGAAGTTCGTGTACAGTTGTGCACATTACTATTTCAGTGGATTTTCACAGGGTCCATAAGGTAAGTTGCCAGTATTTACAGTGGAGGTCACCCAAAGGAAAAGTATTTTAAAGAAATGAATATATATATATATATATATATATATATATATATATATTCACCTTCATTCTCACAGCAACCTTTTTGTGGAGTATTTGAAATCATATGCTTCTGGACCAATCAGAGGAACATCTTAGCCTTGGCTCTGTAATTACTATGTGAATGCATTCATGTTATTTCTATGATAAACTTATTCATCCTAAAAATGGAGAATATCACAGTTCCTACATCAGAGGAATGCAGGTTTGGAAAGGATCAGGCAGGCAAACTGTGTAATTATAAAGGGCCCCATTCTCAGAAGGGTCTACACTTAGCTTCATGCTCTGTTGTTATGGATTTGAAATTCTTAATAATTATTAACAAGGCATCCCACATTTTCATTTTATATTGAACTCTGCAAAGTATGTAGCCATTCCTGGATAGGATTGTTTGTGAGGTCTATAGCCCGGGGTGCCTGGCACATAGAGTAACCCCAAATAAATGTCAGCTATTACTAATTTGCAAGGGATCTATTAGATTTGTGGGTATAGCTCCCAAATTCTATTTTCTTAACTTTTCCAATTTGATCAGACAGTAAATCGAATGGTGGAGTAGACCTCATATGTCCTCATGCATTCGGCTCACACTGATTGGTTATCACTCTATTAAGTTCCTCCGCTTCATTCTTCCATTTCTCTGTGATTGCATAGCTGATGGAATAGGGACTGTAGATGGCTGCTCATTTGAAGTGCAGAAACATTTTTCTAAAAATATGAGACTCATTACTCAATAAAGGATATTAAATTTGTTGTTTTCCTAGTCTGAGAAATGATGGCTGATACGCTGTATCACTGGCATTGTTCCAGAAAGACATGTTGGAAGAGATCTAACCCTCTTTTTTTGCTCTCGTTGTATTGCAGACTATTTGAGCTCCAGAAGGACCAACACCAGATAAATTATGAATGTTGAACAAGATGACCTTACATCCACAGCAGATAATGATAGGTCCTAGGTTTAACAGGGCCTTATTTGACCCCCTGCTTGTGGTGCTGCTGGCTCTTCAACTTCTCGTGGTGGCTGGTCTGGTGCGGGCTCAAACCTGCCCCTCAGTCTGCTCCTGCAGCAACCAGTTCAGCAAGGTGATTTGTGTTCGGAAAAACCTACGTGAGGTTCCGGATGGCATTTCCACCAACACTCGGCTGCTGAACCTCCATGAGAACCAAATCCAGATCATCAAAGTGAACAGCTTCAAGCACTTGAGGCACCTAGAAATCCTACAGTTGAGTAGGAATCACATTAGAACCATTGAAATTGGGGCCTTCAATGGTCTGGCGAACCTCAACACTCTGGAACTCTTTGACAATCGTCTTACTACCATCCCTAATGGAGCTTTTGTATATTTGTCTAAACTGAAGGAGCTCTGGTTGAGAAACAACCCCATCGAAAGCATCCCTTCTTATGCTTTTAACAGAATCCCTTCTTTGCGCCGGCTAGACTTAGGCGAATTGAAAAGGCTTTCATACATCTCAGAAGGTGCCTTTGAAGGTCTGTCCAACTTGAGGTATTTGAACCTGGCCATGTGCAACCTCCGGGAAATCCCTAACCTCACACCGCTCATAAAACTAGATGAGCTAGACCTTTCTGGGAATCATTTGTCTGCTATCAGGCCGGGCTCTTTCCAGGGGTTGATGCACCTTCAAAAACTGTGGATGATACAGTCCCAGATTCAAGTGATTGAACGGAATGCCTTTGATAACCTTCAGTCACTGGTGGAAATCAACCTGGCGCACAACAATCTAACGTTACTGCCTCATGACCTCTTCACACCCTTGCATCATCTAGAGCGGATTCACTTACATCACAACCCTTGGAATTGTAACTGTGACATACTGTGGCTCAGCTGGTGGATAAAAGACATGGCCCCCTCCAACACAGCTTGTTGTGCCCGATGTAACACTCCTCCCAATCTGAAAGGGAGGTACATTGGGGAGCTCGACCAGAATTATTTCACATGTTATGCTCCTGTGATTGTGGAGCCCCCAGCAGACCTCAATGTCACTGAAGGCATGGCAGCTGAGCTAAAATGCCGGGCCTCCACATCCCTGACCTCCGTATCTTGGATCACTCCAAATGGAACAGTTATGACACACGGGGCGTACAAAGTGAGGATAGCTGTGCTCAGCGATGGCACGTTAAATTTCACAAATGTAACTGTGCAAGATACAGGCATGTACACATGTATGGTGAGCAATTCTGTTGGAAATACCACTGCTTCAGCCACCCTGAATGTTACTGCAGCAACCACCACTCCTTTTACTTACTTTTCAACTGTCACAGTAGAGACTATGGAACCTTCTCAGGATGAGGCGCGGACCACAGACAACAATGTAGGTCCCACTCCAGCGATTGACTGGGAAACCACCAATGTGACCACCTCTCTCATGCCACAGAGCACAAGGTCAACAGAAAAAGCATTCACCATCCCAGTGACTGATCTGAACAGTGGGATCCCAGGAATTGATGAGGTCATGAAGACTACCAAAATCATCATTGGCTGTTTTGTGGCCATCACACTCATGGCTGCAGTGATGCTGGTCATTTTCTACAAGATGAGGAAGCAGCACCATAGGCAAAACCATCACGCCCCCACAAGGACTGTTGAAATCATTAATGTGGATGATGAGATTACAGGAGACACTCCCATGGAAAGCCACCTGCCCATGCCTGCTATCGAGCATGAGCACCTAAATCACTATAACTCTTACAAATCTCCCTTCAACCACACAACAACGGTTAACACAATAAATTCAATACACAGTTCAGTGCATGAACCGTTATTGATCCGAATGAACTCGAAAGACAATGTACAAGAGACTCAGATCTAAAACATTTACGGCTACAGAAAACAAACAATTAAAAAAAAAGGACAGTTTATTAATAATGACACAAATGACTGGGCTAAATCTACTGTTTCAAAAAAAAGTGTCTTTACAAAAAAAATACAAAAAAGAAAAGAAATTTATTTATTAAAAATTCTATTGTGATCTAAAGCAGACAAAACTATGTGTATTCCTCAGAACCTGTTTTTGCTGCACTTATTTCCTATTTTCGCATATCTTGTCCCTGCCTTCCCTGATTGCCATATTTTTCATAGATCTCAATTCCCTAAGGAACTGGTCTAGGAAATTTTGTAAGAATTCTGTTACACTTTGAGATTTTTATGGTGAATTCTAGTGGTGAGATCCAGTCTATTTTTGTCTTTCTTTTTTTTTTTTTCCTCTTTTATTTTCCCCCTCATGCCCTCATGAAGTAGTCCAATGGGGAATGCAATATTAGAAATAGATTTTTAAGAGAGAACGAGAAAAATAATGCAAGATCTTATATTTTTCATGTAATGACCTGTTCTGTATTTATGAGGAGGACCATCAGTGGAAAAGGAAAAAAGAAAAAAAAAAGTAAGCAAACAACAGATTAATTTACATATGAGCACCTATAAAACCCATGATCTTTTCAACAACTCTAGAACCAGAATTTGTAGTTCAAACGCTAAAAATAAGATTATAAATAAAAATATTGTTGGTTTTTCTGTACCTGGACACAGCTCATTTGTAGTATGGCTCAAATGTAAGAAACTTAAAGGTAATTTGATTTCCTACTTTCTGAGAAAGAAAATACATTATTTTTCAGTCACAGCATCAAACACCATGGGGTCCTGTCTCATTAGGTTGACTTGAGTTTTGGATCTATATATTTAAGTATGCTGTGGTATTTTTTCCTCGCATTAGGGTCACCCTTTTTAAATGCTCAGATTAAAAATCATGATTTTGTGAAGTAAATCCAATTTCAGTTGGAAGAAAGTTTTAGTATAATTTCTTTACCATCTCATAAAATTCTGCCGGCTAGGCAAAGTATGACATCTGAATGCAAAGGTATTCTAAGTTATCCAAGTTGAAAAATCATTTTTGGTGCTGAGTGTCAACAAATTAAGTTTCATTTAACAATAATTATTAAAGACCTACCATGTGTTAAACATTGTTTTTAGCGTGGACACACAATTGGCACGACCTGATTCATGCCCTTGAGTCAATCAGTCTGTGTGATATATGATTAAAGAAATATCAGTTCATTATTGGGGGACAGCTCTAGTTTTACTGTTACATGAAAGATTGCAAATTGTGACCCTGGTGTTTCAAAATATCAGGTTAATGTTATTACAGAAACCTCTTGATTCATGGTTTCTTCCATCCTTCTGGAAGAGCTACCTCTCTTTTTCCAAATGCAGATTACAGAGTTTAAAAAAGTACACGTAAGGAACTTGTTATGAATGACTGGATTCATACCAAGAGATAGCAATGCTAATACAATGATAACCTGCTAAAGGTACTTGAAGGAACTGGAGAAAGTTTCGGTATGAGAACATACACTGACTTCCAAGTAAAAGAGTAACTTGGGGGTTACAGGCACTGTGACACTCTCCTGATATTTTCATATAATATGTGTATGACTTTTGCCTTTTTGTGAAGCAAAGTGAAAATCTACACCTCTTATTAGAGACCCTTAAAACCTGCCTCCCCTTTGGTGAAACAAGAGTTGGCCAAGCTAGAGCAAACTTCAGCTTCTAATGGATGAGCTGCTTTGATCCCCACACTTAACTCTGCAGGTTGGACCTCACACCAGTGTTTTGTGATGTCCAGATGTAAAAAACCAATCATTACTAGCAAAGTAGGTCAGGGAACTAGAAGGAATGGATAGCAAATGAATGCGATCACACAAGGGTCTTGCCTCAAAGTTTTCATCACCAATTCTCTTTTAGGCTTTTCCTCCCTCATTCCCTGCCTTCCGTGTTAGGAAAACGATTCTCATTTGCTTTACTGTGGAGAAGACTTGGGGGGAAAAACATATTTTCTTGGCCATTTATCAAGCTTTTCAGTATCAGATGTATTTAATATATTCCCATATACAAAACAAACAAACAACCCACCAAGGAATTTCAAGCATGTGCTAGGATAAAGAAGAGTGGCATAAGTCAAGAGGGGAAAAAATCCTGCCTTCTCTACTTGCTGTGTTCTTAAGAAGCTCTGTCTCTGCTGACTCTAACCCTTCTTTCATCTTGAGTTTATAATTCCTATGGAGTTAGACCCAGCATGCAATTCTCCTTTCTGTGAGGGGTTGGCTGAACAGTTAGGTAAATCCAACTGAATAGAATGAAAGGTGAACTTGAGCTAAAAATTTAGGTAAGAAAATGAAGCATACAATTCAGTCCTATAGGAGATTATGTTTGCCCTATTTAATACATTTTAGAAAAAAAATTCATATATATGGATAAAAGATTGGTTACGCCAAACTTGACTTCCACAGTTAATATAGACACACATTTGACAAAAGGTTCTCATGCAGGTTGGGGGTTGAAGGGTGAAGTGCTATAAATGTATGATTTAAAGGTCACTGAAATCTAGATGTTTATAATTAGCAATATCTGTATTTGCTCCACATAACGTACTTGGCTTTTGGCCCCTCAGTACAGAAGCTGCACTGATGGATCAAGACAATCACACACTGCGCTGTGACTATTTATACATCTGGCATACCCTTATAGGAAAACAATTCTATGTTGACTGCTCTTTTTACTCTATACATAGGCAACCAAGTTGGCAGTATTGTTTAATACTTATTGCACTCAAAATATGCCATTTATAATTAACCAAATTAAGGTAATATAATAATAATTGTTACACACATACTAGAGGCCTGGTGCACAAAATTTGTGTAAGGGGCTCAGCCCTCGAAGCCCCAACTTTATCTGGAAGGTTATCTGGAAGGATGTCCGGAAGGTCATTTGGCTGCCCGGTCTAATTAGCATATTATGCTTTTATTATTATAGATATATATCCTACTAAAGGTATGCAGTTTGCTTTGGGAATATTCACCAAGGATGCTTTAAAAGATTTGCCAACTTTTTCTCTATATCATTTGATACCTGGCTATGACCTCAATCTTCTCAATTCTTTTGAACATTTCTAGATATTTGCATTGGTAAAGTACTAGGAGGATTTGGCATAGCTCACACACATACACCCTGATATGGCTTAATCACTTCCCCATGTGTTCTGAATACTATGGAATCAAGTATCATATTTTCCTGTGGTTGAAGTAGGACATTTGACCTTGGAGCATTGATCAATGTTTTGGGTTTTTTGTTTTTGTGTTTTTTTTGAGAAAAAAAATTGTTGCTGGTCCATGGTTGCTCTTAGGCCTTATAATCAGATAAAAATCAGGATATTATTTGAGACCTGAATACTATGAAATTCTGAATATAGATCTGCTAGGAAAAAACTTGATAATGGAATGCTTATTTACATGGGAGAGGAAGAAGGCATTTTGGAACAGGAATTATAGAAATGTGAATAAATATGAAGTGGCATGCCCCAGTGTATATAACATTTCCAAGGTAAGTATTGATCATCGTGGGAAAAAATCTGAATCTTTTACCCTTTGGAATAATCTTCAAGATAATAGGTAAGTGGAAGAGTCAGATGAATGCTTTTGAATAAAGGGTAATGCTCTGAAGTTATGTAATTTTGAAATGATGTGTTCAGTTGTTTAGTTGGTGCTTCAGCTCACTAGTGTTCATAAGGATATCAAAAATAATCATTAAATATCACAGACCTAACATGTAAATGCTTGAGTGAGCAGTCATATCTGTCTAGGAAGCCCTTTGTCTGTTTCTCATAAAATATAGTAGCACAGAGTCAAATCTCATAAAAGCATCTCCTCCAACAATATGCACATCATTACATTTTATTAGAAAGTATTTTTTTTGTACAAAAGATACTTCAGATAAAATTAAGTCTAAGAAATTGCCTTAAGAAAATTCAGGTACTTTTTACTCTTTCTCTTAAAATTCAGTATTAGCTAGAAACCAGATGTGACATTGTCTGGCTGTGGTTTATCAAGATACAAAATAATATGCATCTGGCTCTACGAAAGAAAAAATAAATCTCCTAGAATTACGGAAAGTGCTCTGTCAATTAATACCCAAATTTAGATGATGAATGAACCATTTTACTACACAAACCAGTTCATGTCATTTTGATCCTCCAAGTGCTACCAACAAAACATCTGAGATTCTAACCTTTCTTGGCATTATTTGAGAAATGTGTCCACATTACATATAAAATTATAACATTAAATTGTATAACAAGTGTTCAGCAGCAGTGAGGAAAACTGTTCATTTTGCTTCCGTCCAAGTAAATAAAAAGGAAAGGAAGAGAGCGATTGCTGTAAGATAGACAATAAAGGAAGCAGACATCTTAACAAGAACGCATGATATTGAAAAAAAATCATTTGTTTTGTAAATTTTGTTATACACAGAAAACAAGAATACACATATACATTCTGCGCATTACATAGAAAAGAAAAACCTATGAAACTCCAAACCATGAAGGCTTATCTTTTAATAGTTGGTCCAATAATTTAATTTTATTTTCCAGGTTATTAATACCACCCTTTATTATGGATTTGATGCTGAATTGATGGATTTGAACTTATCCAAATGGCATAAATCCTGTCTATCTGGTTGACAGAAGTAGTGAGTATATGGCTTTCCACTGGATGAAAGAGGGGATTTAATGTTGTTTGAAGTTGGAGGGGCTGGTTTCCATGGTGGCAGTAGAACCCATTCTGATTTTTGTCTGCTAACCTTGACAACTTGGCAGAATAACCTCCTATTTCAACCTTTGGATATCATGATGGAAAGCCACATGGGAAGTCTAATCATTCAGCATGTCTCCATACCAGTAAGGCTTCTGAGTAACAATGAGTATATCTCCTTACTTCTCAGTCCTTAGTTCCACATTAAAAGAGTTAAAAATAAAGCAGGACTCAACAATTGCTATTTAAGCACAGTTGCTA